AATCATAAAATGATCAAGTGGCATAGTATTCCATACTAGGTTCAAACTATCGAATTATAACAAGCAGTTATCAAATTAAAATTAGAACTTCGAATTTAACTTAAAAAGGTAGCATCGGCCCACTAGCCATGCACCGCTGCACATGCTGCTGCACGTGGCAGTCGGCCGCCCCGATTTGCCAGAAAATCGAACAACTCCAAAAATTCCTAAATTTTACAAAAATGAAGATCTTGATGAGAGGAACAACTTTTATACCTAAGCCAAAGTCCAATTCGGCCGGGAAGTGGCCTGAAATTACCACGAACCGCCTGAAACCCTATAAAGGTTGCACTTCTATTTGTCATCTTTGGTGCTCTGCCGCACCAACCAAGGCTTGGGACTTGTTCCTGGGTTCATGAGGAGGCTAATGGTGGTGGTGGTCGAAGGAATCACCTTCAAAAATGGCGGATTTCCGCCGATCTCCCCCACGGTGTCGTCGATGCTATCCCCACGAAACTGAGACAAAAAACGGTCGGGTTTTTGGTGGAACTTGAAGAAGGAAGGTTGTGGAGTTGGTTTTAGGTAGTGGCGATGATCATCTCGTCGAGAAAACAGCAGAATCGGCATTTGGGTGTTTCAAAATCGGGTCGGCTGGAGGAACCAGGTCAAGGGTGATCCGGTGCTCCTTAACTCTCTCATTTCTTCTCATTTCTCTCTTCTCTGGTTGGTCACTATCTCCTTCTCTTTTTTGTGATTAGGCATCCACCATCCTCTCTCTCTTTTCTCCATTATCTCCTTTGATTGGGTAGCAACCCTTTTTTTTCTCTTTTTTCTCCTTTTTTTCCTCCGTCCATCATTCTTCTTTCATTCCTTTCTCTCAATTAATATTAAAATAATAATATAATAACTATGAGAGATATATAAAATAATAAATAGTAATCTTTACAAAAGTACTTTTTGGATTTGTAGTTCCGTAAAACCCTTATCGTAACTCTGGCTTCGATTCAGATTATGCTTACGAGATCATCTCGTCGAGAACTTTGAGAGTACGATAAAATAGTAACTTGCACGCGTCACTAAATGACGGTCAACGAAAATCAACAATCTCGCCAGTAGGGGCATTTTCATCAATTCACTCTTTTAAAAATTAATAAAATCGTAAAATTAGGGATTGGCTGTCACAGTAATGTTGTCCCCATTACTGGGGAAGGTGTTGTCTCCCTTTTTGATACCCTTAATCTTGATGTCTTACTACTTGTTCATTCCCTTGATTATAATTTGTTATCTGTTGCTTAAATAACCATAGTCATACATTGTCTTGTGATTTTTTGGTCTTCTTTTTATGTTTTTAAAGACATTCGGACTCGCAAGATGATTGGTTATGGTGTTAGAAAGGGGAGGCTCTATTACTTGGAGCTGACAACGAACAGTACCCGAATGTTGACTCAAGCACTTGCCATGGAAGGATCTCAAGATGAGGGGAAATAAAGTTTCGGAGGTTTGGTTGTGGCATTGTCGCCTTGGACATGCTTCTTTCGGGTATTTACAGAGGTTGTGTCCTAGCCTATTTGTTAAGCATGATGTGTCTAGCTTTAATGTTGTGTTTGTGAACTGTCTATAAGTCATCATATTTCGTTTTCGTCACATTTGAATAAAAGTTGAGTTTTATTTATGATAATTTATTCTGATGTTTAGGGACCCTATAAAGCTACTACATTTGGTGGTGCTTATTGGTTTGTTACTTTTATTGATGATTCCACATGTATGACTTGTTACTTTTATTGATGATTCCACACGTATGACTTGGGTTTGTTTAATGAAGTCCAAAAGTGAAGTTCCTTTTTTGTTTCAACAATTCCACAAAATGGTGCAAGTACAGTATAAGTCACAAATATAGGTTCTCAAGAGTGATATTGGCAGCGAGTATGTGAACTCTGAACTTCGTGTCTTTCTTGATCATCATGGTATTGTTCATTAAACCACATGTCCATCTACTCCACAACAAAATGGGGTTGCAGAAAGAAAGAATCGTCAGCTTTTGAAGGTTGTTCATGCTTCCTTGCTAGAGGCGCATCTTCCCTTATCTTATTAGGGAAAAGCTTTTACCTCAGCCACGTATCTCATTAATAATGTTCCATCTTGATCAGTTGATTTTCAGACGCCACAACAAGCTCTATCCTGACATGTTGAAGCTTATGCAGTCCCTAATCTTCCACCTCACGTGTTTGGCAGTGTGGCATTCGTTCATCTCCATAAACAATAAAGGAGTAAGCTTGAACCTCGGGCCCTGCAATGTGTGTTTATAGGATATGCCTCAAATAAAAAAAGATATCGATATTATCACCCTCCGTCGAAAAAGTTGTTTGTCACTATGGATGTTGCATTTCATGAGACTGATATGTACTTTGGCAATCCTGAGTCTTCATTTCAAGGGAAGAATCAAACAGAAGTTCAAACTCTTGATTATACTATTCCGAATACAAATATTGTGAATGATTTAGATTCAAATGGTGATGTCTTGGAAATAAGTGGTGATCATTCATAATAAAATACTGATGTGAATGACTTTGAATTAAGTGGCAATATCTTGGAGACAGGTGGTGATCATTCACATGAAAATAATGTTGAAAACCTTGAAAGGAATGAGCCAATGCAAGAAACCTCACTGCCAAATAGCTAAGTGCCGCCAGCCATCTCATAGTCAGTCTCGCCACCCTTGAGCCCCAATAATTATAATTAATTTTCTTTGATCCCGAACGCACCACCACTACATCGTCTTCCTGACTATGTCAACCGAGGTATTCTCAACCCTAAGTCTAATGTGTTATACCTGTTAAGCAATTATGCATCTACAAGTCACCTATCATAATCAAATAAGTCATTTGTGCATCATTTATCTATTGTATCTATTCCTAACAGTGTGCAGAAGGCTTTAGTTGATCCATGTTGGCAAGTAGCAATGAATAAAGAGTTGAAGTCTTTAAAGAAGAATGCTACCTAGGAGATCACAAACTTGCGAGCTGGCAAGAAAGTTGTGGGATGAAAATGGGTTTATACTGTGAAGTATAAAGCTAATGGGATGGTGGATCGCTTTAAGGCAAGATTGGTAGCGTAAGGTACAGTAAAAAAATATAGAATCGACTGTACAAATACATTTGCTCCTGTGGCCAAGATCAACACAGTTTGTTTTTTGTTTTCTCGGCTACAAATCTTAATTGGCCCTTACAACAGTTTGACGTGAAGAATTCCCTCTTGCATGGGGATTTGATAAAACAGATTTATATGGATCTTCCACCAGGATGTAACATTCCAAATAAGTACGAAAGAAAGGTGTGCAGGTTGAAGAAATCCGTGTATGGTTTGAAGCAGTCCCCTCGAGCATAGTTTGGAAGATTCACAAAGTCTATGAGAGCCTTTGGTTACGGACAAAGTAACTCCGATCATACTTTGCTTCTGAAAGATAAAATGGGAAGCTAACTGCGCTTATTGTGTAGTAGATGATATGGTGGTAAAATGGAAAGATCTGGAAAATAGTGTAGCCTTGCAAAGATACCTGTCTACAAAATTTGAGATGAGGGACCTTGGATCCTTGAAATATTTTCTAGGGATTGAGGTATCAAGAAGCAGTTCTAGGATTTTCTTGTCTCAAAGGAAGTATATTATTGATTTACTGCATGAAACTGACATGTCAGCTTGTCAGCCAGTAGCTACACCATCGGAGAAAGGGTTGAAGTTTAGTGTTGATCCTAATCAAGTATCGGTTGACAAAGGGAGATACCAAAAGTTAGTAGGTTGTTTAATGTACTGAGCACACACAAGACCAGACATTGCTTATGCCTTGAGTGTGGTAAGTCAATACAAGCATGATCCTGGAGAATAACATATGAATGCAGTAATGAGGATTTTGCGAGATCTGAAGGGAAGTCTAGGCAAAGGAATTTTTTTTAAAAAGGAATAACCATCTTAGAGTTGAAGTTATACTGATGCAAATTGGGCAGGTTCGGTGGATGATATGCACTCAATATCTGGTTACTTTACATTCATTGGAGGTTTGGTTACATGAAGAAGTAAGAAACAAAATGTGGTTGCCCGTTCCAGTGCAGAAGTTGAATACAAAGGTATTGACTTTGGGGATTTGTGAAATTTTGTGGTTTAAACTTTTGTTAAGCGATTTGGGTATAAAGTATGATCATCCCATGAAACTATTTTGTGATAGTAAAATTGCCTATGGCATTGCCCATAATCTTGTACAACATTATAGAACAATGCATGTTGAAGTTGATCAATTCTTCATTAAAGAAAAATTTGAAGGGAAAATAATTGAGGTACTGGCAATAAGAATATGGAAGATCAATTAGCAGATATTTTCACAAAGACTGTTTGAAGTCAGAAGTTTTCAAGTTTTATTACACAAGTTAGACATGTGCAACATATATTCACCAACTTGAGGGGGAGTGTTTACTTTTGTATATTCCTATAATCTCGGGATTCTTAGTTTAGCATGATTTCATGTAAATTAGTTCTTTCCTTATTGATATGATTGTACCATCTTATAAGTTCCTCCTTGAGATATGAATAGAGACAGTACAATTCCAAAAAGCATTCTCTTCTAATTATGTCGCATACTTTTCGTGGTCATAGAGAGCAGCGACTCAAATTTGAGTTATATTCAACATTAAAAAGATAAATACGACTACACTGGGTATTATTTGGTACCACCTAAACTTGAAAAAAAAGAATAAAAACATAATTGGGGATGTTTCATAAGATTTTATTTTATTTTTGTAACAAACGATATCATATATACTAAGAATGTGGGCTTAGCTTTACAATGTGCTAACAATAATATGGTTCAAATTCGCCTTTGATGAGAATCAAACTTAATACCTCTTACTTACAAACGAAGAAGAATAACATCAGATCGTAGTTCTAAGTGACGGAGATATTTCATAAGATTAAAACACCATTGACTACAAATAGTGGGATCAACCTTTTGCCCTTTCCCAAATGAGCCCACTGGGTTTGGTAAAATTGCGAGAGACCCACTAACCTACTTCACCGCAGCACCGTAGTCACAGCCACTCGTAGCTATAAACATACACATTTGGTTCCATCCCAATACCAACCTTCATAGATCTGATCTGATTTCTCCATCTTTGTAAGTGCTACTGTTTCTTAAGCTCCAGATGCAGCTCTCTCTCTCAATGGCGTCCGAGGGAATTCTGTTGGGGATGGGAAACCCACTGCTAGACATCTCCGCCGTCGTCGACGAGGAGTTCTTGCAGAAGCACGTCGCATTCTCTCAAACCCCTTTTGCTCTTTTTTTCTTTCTTTTGCACAAAACTCTGATGCATGAACCTTTATGTTGCCCGCCAGATGTTTGATCTATTGCCTAAGCAATATTTGGGCTTTCTAGCTCAAGTGTGTAGATTAGTTTATACTCTACGCTTTGGTTCACTGTACTGTGAGCTACAAGAACACATAATTTGGTGTGGTGGGATTGATTTTGTTTGCTTTTTGTGTCACAGATATGACCTCAAGCCCAACAATGCGATTCTTGCAGAGGACAAGCACCTGCCCATGTAAGTGATTTAGTTTTCGCCTTTCGAATTTCTACTTTTCTTGCATAAATACGAGTCTGTAGAGGTCTTGTGGGTAATTGTTTTTTTTTTACTTAATCTCCTGTTCAAAGTGAGGGATATTGGATTGTGCTTTGGTTAAACTGCACCGACACTTTAAAATGTGCTAAAGTTTAATGCCTAATTTATCTGAGTAACAACCATAAAAGGATTATGTTCATACACAGTGTTGTCAAATAGATGTAGTTCCATTAATGAAGATAAGTCCTCCACGCTTCTGTCTGACCGCAAAACAATTGTTTGTGGCTAAACATAGTTCATACACAATGTTTGTCTCAGGTACGACGAAATGTCTTCCAAGTACAACGTGGAGTACATTGCTGGAGGTAGAACGCTGATTGTATTTTGTCTGGTTTTCAAATAAATATTGTTGTAGATGTGCTAAATTTGTGATTACTACGACAATAAGTTGAGTTTAACTTTTGAATTATGCAGGTGCTACTCAGAATTCCATTCGAGTTGCTCAGGTGCTTGCTGAATTTCTCATTTGATCATTTTTATCCTTAATCAATTGGTATCACCATTGAACGTATATCTCTCTACCTTCTGCAGTGGATGCTTCAAGTACCTGGTGCAACAAGTTATATGGGTTCCATTGGAAAGGACAAGTATGGTGAAGAGATGAAGAAGAACTCAAAACTTGCTGGTGTTAATGCAAGTTTCTTCTTATATCGCTCTTGCTTTATTCATTATATAATATATTACTATGTAGGCATACAAAGATAGGAATTTTTATCAGCCATAAAAAAAAATGACGGATTTTATATTCTTTATGTTCTTTTAAGTTGTGGATTGAAAAAGTAAAGTAGTGTTTTTCCTTCTAAATTGCATTTCCACCTTTACTGCCCAATATCGCTACACCAGTTGCTTTTCTTAATCAGGTTCACTATTATGTGGATGAGACTGCACCAACGGGAACTTGTGCTGTCTGTGTTGTTGGTGGTGAAAGGTCAGTTTATGTCAAGCATTTTTTGAAATTTCAAATTTTGCTTTCCAATTTGCTAGTCATCCGTTAACTGTTGATATAGTTTGAAATGTACACTCATAATTCTCAACCTATTGGACTGACAACAATTCTACCGTGTGTATATGTAGGTCCCTTATTGCCAACTTGTCAGCCGCTAACTGCTACAAATTTGAGCATTTAAAGAAACCCGAAAATTGGGCACTGGGTACTCTTTCAAGCTGTGTTTAGGCTTGTACTTCATTTATGTAGTAAATTACTTCATTCTTGTGACTTGATTCACTGATTCTTGTTTGGACAGTTGAGAAGGCCAAATACATCTACATTGCTGGTTTTTTTCTAACTGTATCCCCAGACTCCATCCAGCTTGTTGCTGAACACGCTGCTGCAAATAACAAGGTATTTGAAATGTTATTTCTTCGAATTGTCGTCTTTTTGCTGCTTTCAATAGCGTTTGCTAGACAGAGTCTTCAGAATTCCCGTTACCTGCAGGTTTTTTCAATGAACCTTTCTGCTCCATTTATCTGTGAGTTTTTCAAGGATGCTCAGGATAAAGCTTTACCGTAAGCTTTTCATTTTGTTTTGAAAGGCATAATAATCAAGTAATAAGTACATACTTAGGGCATGACTTTCCTTATTGAAATGTAGGTATGTGGACTATGTTTTTGGAAATGAGACGGAAGCAAGAACCTTCTCGAAAGTTCATGGCTGGGAGGTAACAAAGCCTATTACCGCATGAGGATTACTGTTATTCTATGTTTTGGAAATGGTTTACATTCATATGTTGGTATTTATTTTGACTGGTTGAATTCACAGATTGATGATGTCGAGCAAATAGCTCTAAAGATCTCCCAATGGCCCAAAGCGTCAGGGACACACAAGAGGATTACTGTTATTACTCAGGGCGCAGATCCCGTGGTTGTTGCTGAGGATGGCAAAGTGAAAAAGTTCCCAGTGGACAAGTTGCCCAAAGAGAAATTGGTTGATACCAATGGAGCGGGTACGTGTTCTGTGACAATTTGTAGCATGTATCGTAAAATTAATACATTTGAAAACATCTAGTAACACACCAACAATTGGAAACAGTCCATTGCGAGTTATTTACTAATCTATTGTATTATTTTTTATATAGGGGATGCATTCGTTGGAGGTTTTCTATCTCAATTGGTTCAAGAGAAAGCCATTGAAGACTGCGTGAAAGCTGGCAACTATGCTGCAAATGTTGTCATCCAGAGGTCTGGCTGCACCTACCCGGAGAAGCCTGATTTCAATTAAGTTATTCATTCCCTTTGTTCTCTACTAAGTATTATTTAAATTTTGATTGCTGAGGATGTCTATTGATTGCCAAGGTTCTATCGTTGTATTTGCTTATTTGGAATCAGATTTTGATCCTGCACCCCCTTTGAACAAGGGGGGATTAAAACTTAAAAGTTTATACATGTTAAATAGTGTTAGTAGAAAATTAAATGTAGTTTTGCAGTTCTGCTTGATGTCTGTCCAGTAGCAGGTTTGAACATCTGATGTTGGTCATAGATAGTTCAAATAGTTCGAATTGGAAGTCGTCCAACCAAAGACATACTAAAACAGTTGATTCTAGACAATCAACAGTTTGCAAAGCATCCTTTCTAAGGGAACTTTGATTGTTTGAACGGTGCTGTGTGATTTTTTTTTTTGGGGGGGGGGGGGGGGGTTCTCGTCGGCCTCTATGGTTTGCAAAATCTTTGAAGGTGAAGAAATGTAACCCACATGATATGATTGCTGACGGTTGGTCTTCTTTTCTAATTTCTTTAAACCATGAAGTCTTTATTGTCATGTCGTGTGATTTACAAAATGTGGTATAAAAAGATGGTCTCTCTAACATTTTCCTTTCAATATCTTGTTGGCTCATTTGTGTGAGCGAATTTGAGTGTATTTGGGACTCGTGTTTGTGAGAACTTGAACACTCTTGTATTCTTCTTTGTTACTAATGGAATTTTTTTGCTGTCTCGGAAATAGATGTAGGCTGCAAAACCGAACGAGGATAAGTCCTTGGGGTTTTTTTTATCACTTTCTTTGCCACGCTATTATTTGGCTCATGGACTATATAAAAGGGGAGGGAAAAGTTTGTCCTATAAATAGGCTCCCACACTCTCTTTCTAGGAGAGCCTCTCATTCCAAACTTTAGCTACTTCACTCTCTCAAAGACAAGAAGTCTCCACGTACAATTTAACCTACATTTAAATAGTGGAATAGGAAGCTACACCAACATGGATGTAGCCCAAACTCAAGGTGAATCACTGTACATTCTTGTGTATTTGTTTGATTTACAGTTTGCCAAAGGCGACTCGATTTTGTGCATCAACATTAAATATATCCATTGTGGATGCAAATTTCCGCATTCTTCTTCTTGGACAAAATTGCACCTACAAAACAATTAACACCTTAGATGCCAAGAGCCTCACGCACCCACGATAAATGGGGGGCTTTGGCTGAAAAACCTCCGATACCAAAGTTAGAATTTAGAGAGAAAAGTTTTTGGAAGTTTTGCAAGAGTGGAACTCTTTTTTTAGAAAAAATAGGGTCATATATATAGGGATGTTATAAAATCGACGGTGTGTGCAGTGGAATAAATAAACAAGACACAAAATTTACGATGTTCCTTTACAGTCAGTGTGACTGGAGTACATCCTCGGGGCAGCAATGGTGCTTTCATTATAATTTGGAATAATAAAAGTACAGAAATAACCCTTTCTATTATCTCCTCTCATTTTCCTCTCTTTTCTCTCTTCCTTTTCCGTGTGTCTCTCACTTCTTATCTTCTTGTGTGTATTGTTCCATAAGACTTGCATTTATAGAAGCAAATCACGAGCAACATAGTGAAATGCAAATTAGTGGATTAGTGGATAGCCATCCAGTCACCTTTACAACACTGCCCCTTGGATGGTCACAAGTCTTCGATTGACTCGTTAAAATCTTGATCTGTTTTGGATGCTCCTCCTGATGAGTATCTCCCCCTGATCTCAAATCATTTAGGCTGATTGTTTATCATTCCGCTTCAGTCTCTTAGCAAAAATAGTTGCCGAACGAGGTACTTTACTTGTTGTTAACTTCCACAGGCTTGTTCTTGAACTAAGCTGGAGGGCCTCTAAAGGTCTGTATTTACTTCTTTTATCTAGAGCTAAATTTAATTCAAGGGTGGTGGACACTTGATCTTGAATCAAACTTGTGATTTCTTCAAGGACCTTCGAAGCTTGATTTTGAATGAAGTTGTACAGTGAGGAGCTTCACGTGGCAAGTGATCTTCGGCTTTGTTGGGGATGAATCAACACGTGTTTGTTGCGCTTGTCTCCACATGCTTCAATGTATCATTTTCACTTACCTTACTTGCTCCCCTTGCTTAAGTAGTATTTTCCCTGGTTTCTCCTATGCATGTGTGGCATATTCTCTTGCAGTATTTGCCTTCTGATGCAAGAGTGGAATGCAACCCTTGCATTTGGATGGTTCATCACTTTTTGGTGACTGGAGACCCAGCTCCAACAACAGTTGAAGATGGCTACTCGAGAGCAATACTAGGTAAGCAATCAGGAAAGGTTCCAGGCAGTCGGTTCCTTACCGGGAGTTTGAGTGGAGGTTCTGACATATTGCTTTCTTTATCCTTGCCTTTGTAGGTAAGAACAAGGACAAAGGAAAGGACAGGGAGATTGCATAATATGAGATACTCTTACTCTTGTCCTTGAAGATATGAGATACTCTTGCACTGGTGTGATTTGTTTGAAGAGGTATTCTTGAAGAGGAAGAAAACTGAGTATTTCGAGATGATTTGTTGAAGATGCATTCTCGGAGATGAGAGAAAGTTAGGAGTTTTGGATGTGTGCCTTGCCATGGACGATGAAGGTCGACATATATAGGGATTTCCCCAATAGCAGGCAGTGGTGATGTGCCTTTACTCTTGTCAGCAACTGTGGTGTAATTAGAACAGTAAGATTTACACGTTTTCAGCTTTGTCATAGATCTTTGACAAAGTTGCACGCGATAGCAGAAAAAGCTGAGATTGCATCTGAAAATGCCAACGAACTTTATTTAGGAAAATCTGGCTTTTGAAATTCGAAGAGCGGAGCCTCTTCGATTTCTGAACAAGTAGCTTTGTTGCCTCTTCTTTTATAAAGACATCAATTGTGTTCAAGAGTATGCTCAGAAAGTTGTTGCCTGTAGAAATTTTCCCCTTCTTGCACTTCTGAGATTTTATTTGACCTTTTTTTTTTCATCATTTTTTAAAATGGCTTGTCCATCTAGCATTTGCTTAGATTTGAGGCTTAGGAGTGATACAGACGAGCAGCGTCAGGATAACATATGGCGCCCGTCCTTCTTATCTTCTAATAGTCCTTTTACAGTTGGGGACTCTGTGATGAAGAATAACATAACCGCTACTGTGGTAGCTAGGAATCTTCTCACTCTAAAGGATAAAAGAATCATTTCAAAATTGTCTGATGAGTCGGTCGTTCAAGACTCTTTGGCTCTCAATGTTCAATGTGATGGCTCTGTTTCCAGTATGGGCCAACACCTACTTGCTCAAACTCGCCAAGTTGAATTATTAATGGCTGAGGTGACAAGTATTAAACAAGATATCAGAGGGCTCAAACACGAGAATAGAGTGTTACACATGCTTGCAAATAATTACTCTACGAGCATGAAAAGAAAGCTCGACCAGCTGCAAGAATCCGAAAGTCGGACTCAAAGTGATCACCAAAGGTTCGTTGTTAGATTTCGAAAGCAACTGATGTCTTCCCCCTTCTGGCGTTTTGTTGAGTACTAGGGTGCCATATGATCAATCTCCAGTGCCTCCTCATTATGGGGTACTTCCGAGTACTGAGGCTTCACATGAGCAACCTTTGTGAAGGCTCCATCCTGTTTATTTGTTTTAACTCATGTGTATACACATACCTGTAATTTCTCGGAGATATTAATAGATAAGCTTTATTTCATTAAGTGTATTGTGCCAAATACAATAAAGCATATGCTTCACTAAGATGGTACTTTTGGACCAAACATTCATTTATCTTTACCCTCACAAAGATAAATGATCTTTCTTAGTGTCTACATCATTTGAGTATTCAACTCATAATCTTCAATCCATATGGTTCTTTTAATATCATAGACATCATGGATAAGATTCGTGTTGGTAGATTGTTCGATCTGCAGCTCGAGACAATATTTCTCTCAACACTTTATAATCTTTCTTGACTCTTCAGGAGTCCCAATTTAATATCATCAACTCTTCAAGAGTTCTAATTTAATGTCATTGACTCTTGCAAGAGATTTTAGTATGTTGCAACAATATCATAATGATAGTACTCACTAAGGCAATTTATACCATCCATTGGTATTGAGTACATAATTTATGCTTTACCCTTCGGGGGCTTACTTCAAGCAATTTGAATCCTTCAGGGATTTTCTACACTTCATGACACATTTTCCTTTGGAATTTATACAGAGCAATTTGCTCCGATGTATACTTGAGGGATTTACTTATGGAGATATGATGTGGGCGACGCACAACCCTTCGTATATAATTCTCCATTCATATGAACTCGTTTACAAGAGTATAATTTTAGGTTTCAATTAGTAACCTTATGTCATATCATGTGAGTGTAATTCACTGTATTACAAATGTCCATATGTAACCTCCTTGGTTCAACATCTTTTTGGCTATTTGTATTCTATTCAAATATATATATATATATGTATGTATGTATGTATGTATGTATGTATGTATGTATGTATGTATATATATATGTATGTATGTGTGTATATATATATATATATAGGTTCATTTCTTCACTTTCTTACAAAATTGTAATGGAATTGCCTTTCTCCATTTTGGCCAATAATTTTGTTGACGAAAAAGAACGAGACTTAATATCAACACAGCTCATTGATGAATTTAGTAGCTACTTGTAAAACCAAAATTACTATTGGTTATCATCAATCTATGATCCCATATTCTCATGTGCATGCGCATGCATAAAAGCTTTTCATTTCTTTTGGATATCCATTGCCTCTTCAAGGGAATTACACTATCTCTTCTAGGATAGTCGTAATTTAGAGAATGTAGATCATAACCTCTTCTTGAGCGTTATAGAGCTTGGGTTTTAATCTCCACTTCTGGGAGTTGAGTCATTGGAACCTATACGTCTATCATGCTTCATGCATGAGACATCAAAATTCCCATGTCTACAGATTGTCCTTTTGGACCATGTATTCATGCGGCAACTGTCATGCTTCTGGCATGCAACAATTATGTTACAGGAATGCAATAGTTCAGTAATGCCATATTCTTCTTCTTTCAAATGACTGAACCTTTTGAGTCTGAGGGTTTACCACGCTTTAGGCGTGCAACAGATAAATCATTTGCTGCCATATTATTTTTTTTTTCAACAGGGACATCAATTCTTGTAGGCACATTTGCAGTAAGTATATATGATTTCATCACTTTTGTTGCATCATTCAATTATTCCTATTTCATTTTCTTATTGATTGCTTTGTGAATCAAAATATGACAAATTCTCTTCGTTCTTCTGGAACGGTCTTTTCTCATCATTCTTCTGGAATGATATTTTCTCCCCCTAACAGCGGGGAAATTGTCTTATCAAAATGACAGTCCGCAAACCATGCGGTAAACATATCCCCAGTCAAGGGTTCTAGGTATTGAATGATAAATGGTGAATCAAATCCAACATAAATTCCCAGTTTGTGTTGATGCCTCATTTTAATATATTGTGGCAGTGCAATAGGCACATAGATAACACAACCAAAAACTCGTAAATGTGTAACGTTTGGCTGGTGCCCAAACACGAGTTGTGCTAAGAAATATTGATGGTTAGCAACTGGTCTTAACCGAACTAAATAATGAATTATGTAAAATGACATGTTCCCATCTTGTAATTTCTTTTTCATGAGCAGAGCGTGGGTAATCAATTTCATCTGCTTAATAAATGCTTCTGCTAAACCATTTTGAGTATGGACATAAAGAACTTCTGGTCCTTATTTAATAGTCTGTAGATTGAGACTTTTATGACTTTTATTACAATTAAGTTGAGGCACTGCGGCACTTCAAACTTACGCTACTCATCAAGGAATTTCATGTCCTGATCTTCAAGATCAAGAGACTTCATACCTGATCTTTTTGAGTGATGGAACTTTGGGTCCAATCATTTTATATGATGAAGATCAAGAAACTGCAGATTCTGATCTGATCAAGGAACTTCAGGTCCTATATATACTCATTGTAACACAAGATAAGTACAATAAATAAATTAAAGCAATATGCGGTAATTCCAACCATAATGAATAAATTGCATTTAAGTAAATAAAGCTTGTGACAAGGGCTTTAATTCAACACCATTCACATAAATCAAAACTTAAAGCAATAGGTGATAAAACCGTCCATGGTAAATAAATTGCTTTAAAGTAAATAAAGCTTGTGACAATGACTTTGATTCAGCACCATTCACATAAATATCAAAGCTTTAAAGCAAAGGGTAATAATTCTACCCACTGTGAATAAATTGTTTTAAATAGATAGAACTTGTGAAATGATTGTAAGCCAACACCATTTACATAAATAAATAGTATCAGAACCTTTTATTTTGCCACTTCCTTTTGTCCCTTTTATTTGTTAATTAATTTTTTTTCTTTCTTTTTGTCAGCACCAAGCTTCAAAACCTTTTCTTTTCTCACATGCTGCACAATTCCAAAAAAACAACTTTGTCTTTTGTTTTCTTTCACATGGTGCAACATATATTTTCAAGGCTTTGACCCCATTTTGCTTTTTATTTTTGTTTTCACAGTTCTGAAGTTATTTTGGTTACTTAGGAAATAATAGTAACAATAAGTTCCAATTGGTGTTCCTCCTCCGTGAGTTTCGAAAAAAGTCGAAACGGTTCCCATAAGTTTTGGAGTCAAGAGTGTCTGCAACTTATGAGAAGATCAAACCATTAGATTTAGCTCAAATTTTAGTATGATATGGATAAGAGGATACCGAACAACTTTTGTGAAGAAACAATTTTGATTTGACCTACAAAAATGGAGTTGTGGTACTCATAAGGTGGCTGTCCAGTTCTCTGCGGAAATTGGAAACTGGTTTTGTATTTCAAACATCTGCAATGATAACACGGTTAAAGTTTTCTAAAATTTTGATATGTTGTAGATACTGAGCGGACAAACAACTTTCAAGAAGAAAGTATTTCAATCCGAGGTCCACAAGTTGGAGTTCTGAGGCTGTTTACATGACTGTCAAATTCTCTACGAATTTTGAGTTTGTACTCTTTTGCTTCTGCAAAAGATGATATACAGTCATGCAACAACATATATAGTTGCTTTCAAGAAAATCAATTGTAATGAGATCTGAACATGAAATGAAAAGATTTCTTATCTACGAGATTCTAGCTGAAAGAGGTGAACATGATTTGTGGCGCGATGTTTTCCACTGACATGAAAGCTTCTCGTGCTGATAACACGTTGTAAAATTGACGGTGTGTGCAGTGGAATAAATAAACAAGACACAAAATTTACGAGGTTCCTCTACAATCAGTGTGACTGGAGTACATCCTTGGGGCAACAGTGGTGCTTTCATTATAATTTGGAATAATAAGAGTACATAAATAACTCTCTCTATTATCTCCTCTCCTCTTCCTCTCTTTTCTCTCTTCCTCTTCTGTGTGTCTCTCACTTCTTATCTTCTTGTGTGTTGTGTTCCATAAGACTTGCTTTTATAGAAGCAAATCACGAGCAACATAGTGAAATGCAAACTAGTGGATTAGTGGCCAGCCATCCAGTCACCTTTACAACAAGGGAATGGAGGTGGCCGGCCCTTAGAGGTTTTTTGTGTGAAAATGGATGATTTAATTGGTGATTAATGGATTAATTAGAAATTAATCCATTAATTAGCCAATTAATCTCCATTTATATGAAATAATTTGTAGGTTATGAAGTAATTACCTAAGATGAGGATGGATGAGATAATTTGGAATTGGTTACCTTTTTTGGACATTCTTGGCTTGATTAAAGAATGATTGTCCACTGCTCGCGCATAGAAGAACCGGTGTGTCTTAGGGGTAACTTTGTCCTTTTTATCAAAAATTCATGTGTCGTTTTGTGATTATTTTTTGCTCAACAAATGCCCCCACACCTACTGGGCTGCTCATAAGAAATAGCAGCAGGTGTAGAGATCTTCTTGCTCTAAGAAACTTAGGACTGCTTCCTGTTTTGATATAGATTCCCTCTTTAATATGAAATTAGATCCTTCTAGGAAAGGGAAATAAATTTCTCTTAAAACCTATTTAAGTCCACCTTAAGTGGGTTATTAAATCAACTTTGGAGAGTGATTTATTCTATCCTACAAGAGAGAGAGAGAGCTTAGAGGATATTTGTTCCCCCTCCTCTAGCAATCTTCTACATCTTGCTCGTGCAAAGGACCATCTTTTGTTGTTTTCTTCGTCTTCTTCGTGCCGCACCAATGTAATAAAAACTTAATTTCTTCTTGTCTTCTTCTTGGGTGGTGCTGCCACGGGGCAACGTCAGGGTGGTGGGCACATAGGCTGGCAAGGGCCAGGAGTCGGCTTGGCATGAGCCAAGGAGGTGATGTGGCAGGGGCCATTGCTTGAGCAGCTCGACTTGATTGAAGCTAATGATTGGTTTGGCATGGGTCGAGGAAGTGGCGTGGAATAGGCAATTGTTTGGGTTGCCACGTCTAGGATGCCTGCTGAAAATGAGGAAACTGCTTGAGTTTGATTTTTCAACTGCCATAGATGGAGCAGTCAAGGATGAAGTTGCCAAGATTAGAGTTGTTAAAGATGAAGTGCCAGATGAGCAAACTGTTAAGTGTAAAAGTGGCTACTGCCCCCATAACCATTTGTTGCTTAGTTGATCTTCAAGCATTCGATCTTTTGAACTATGTGGCCTTCTCGCACTTGAGAGCTTACCCAAATGGGTGTCAGGGATTTAGTTTACCCTCTTGCACTAGAGAGCAATTAGTTTACCCTCTTCCACTAGAAAGCAATTAGTTTATTCTCTCGCACTGGAGAGCAAACCCATAGGGGTTGTTCTTAGTAAAGCAAAGATTATGCTTCTTTTTGGGATGTACATATTTGTAAATATCTTGTGAAGAACTTACCCACCTTCTTTTTAGTTTGGGTTTCAGTTAAAGTATTTCATTCCGTATGGTATGTCATATTCAACGAATGTTATTTTTCCTTTGCCATTTGTCGATTTGCGATGTACGTTGGGATCGGGGTGTGACATGCAACCCAGACTTGAGTCGGGATCGGAATCAAAGCATCACCGTCGTGAATACAGGAGATTCAGCTGCGATTTTGATTTTGATTTCAATTGAATTTCGTGATTGTGTTGCGTTTTGTGATTTTGAAGCTTTATTGATTGGAATGGAGGGAGAAAGTTGTGGAATTTGGACAAAAAAAAAAGGAGAGGGAAGAGAGATTCTTAGTCCAGAGTTGTGGAATTTGGAAGGAAAAAATGCTGAGGGAAGAGAGAGGTTTCTTAGTCCAGGGAGTGTGTTCTAGAACAAGAAACAGAAAATGAAAAAAAAAATAACAGAATTAATAATTATTATTTTCATTATCCTACTTTTTAGTCCGACACTACATCAAACGTTTCACAAAGATAATCCAGTTTAGTCTAGTCTAAGCTAGTCCAGCTTAGTTCTTAAAGCTAATCGAGTCCGAAATAGTCCGGTGCAACAAAAGCACCCCAAAAGTTTACCAACTAAACTGAATAATCATCGTCCAAAAAATTAGGAAATATTGTTACAACAAAAACTATTTTACAGTCAATTTTATTTTTTACATCAATAGAGGGAAATTAGATTTTAATAAAATTTTCCAAGGATTAAAATAAAATTTTCCACTTTGTAGCGCGTGTAATGCCATCTACAACAGGACGCGTTTGCATCGGTGTTGTAAAACTAAAACACACCAATCGCCCCGCTCTCTTTCCTCACCGAGTCACCACCACGACAACGAACAACAAAAACAAAAAATAAAAACGCCGAGAAATACTGGAAAAAAAGAAAAAAAACCGCGATGAGCGATCAGCATCCACGGTTGAACCACCTCCGCAGCACCTCCCAGCTCCTCCGACAAGCCACGACGTCGTTCGCCGGCAACCTCTTCACCTTCGTCTTCCTCTCCCTCCTCATCTTCTCCTTCCGTACGGTCATCGAAAATGGGACCCACCTCCTCACATCCTTCGTCGACCGCGACCCTTCTCTCAAATCCCTCCTCTCCCGCCTCGATCTCGCTGGCGCCGGAAATCCCAACCACCGGTCTCCCCGATCTCCGGCCGAGTCCCCTTCTCCAATCACTCTCCGCCGCCGACACCGCCCATTTCTCCACCTCACCCGGGTCGGAACCTTAGACGAGGATTTCTTCTCCGGTGATGACGACGACGCCCGCTCCCTCTTCGGCCCCAATCGGATCGCCCCCATCCTCATTTTCTCCTCCTCCTCTCACTCCACCTCCAAATTAGGGTTTAATGGAACTTACGGGACTAGGGTTTCTGAAATTGTGCGCTCCGGCCTCACGTTCAAGGCCGAGAAATTCACCATTTCCGATGATAGTGCTAGAGACAGAGATAGCGACGGAGATAGCAAGGACCGAGAAGAGAAAGGCGGCGATGAAGACATGGACAATCGGGCTGTCGATTTGCAATTCTTCATCAAGGGATTGGAGCTAGGTCGCCAGGACGTGGCGACGTTGTTCTTCCTTGTGAGTTCTTATCCGCAGCTTACGGTTGGGTAATTCTAGGGTTTCTTGTAACGTATTCATGGGTTCTTGGCATTGTTTTTACCACAGTTGTGAATGATCTGATCGGGCGGTTTACTTCGTTTATTGGTCTGGTTTGGGATGGGTCCAGATTGGGCATCAAGAGGCTCTCTGGGTTCATTCTCATGAGGTGGGCGGTGAGAGATGCTCTCACTCAGCTTCTGGGATTGTGGTATTTCAGCGAAATTGAGGACCAGTACTCTTTTTTCAAGCTATTTATCAGGTTAAAGTTGATGCCTTTTTCGGTTATGCCTCCCTGGATTCGAGGTTATGAGAAGGAGATTACTGGGTTTTTGTTTATGTGGTACTTCTTGGATACATTGGTGGCATTCGTATTTTCTGTCGATGCATGGGTTGCCATAGTGGATTCAAGGAAGAGTGGGAGAGAGATTGTCAAGGAAGGCTGTCATTTAATGTTGTCAATGTTGAGCCAAGCTATCCAAATTAAGTGTTTAGAATCTATATTTTGTGGGGGATCTGTAAGATGGGCTTTAACTCGAATTTGTGGAAGATCGTTTGCCAAGCTCTTTCAGTCGACTGTGGAAGTTTACTTTATGGTGGCTTGGCTCATATTTTACTTTGCAGCGAGGGCGAGGAGTAGAGATGCTAGTTCTCAGGGGGAGAGGATTGGAGCCCTAGATTGAGGGCCTTAGATACTTGGCAGTATTGGCTTGCAGTTTTTCTTGCAGACTTCGATTGTAACACTACATTACTGGTAATCTTTCAGTGCTCCGTGTTCCTGCTTTGGATTCCCTGATATTCCGCACTGCCATTGTTTGGTGTAGTTTGCTAGACAGATGTTGTTGCATGTACTTTACCTCAAGGCAGTATACAATCTGTGTATTGCCTTGCACAAGAATACTTCATGTGTAAATGACGTTGCAATCATTGTTTTAATTCTCTGCATTGTATGTTACTTTTGATGATGATAATGAAAGAAATCAGAGTCGTCAGTGTGAGACTGACTTAGATTGTTGTAGTATTGATCTTTCTGTCGCTTTATTATGGAAGAAATTCTTTTTAAAGATACCATTTTTTTTCATTTTTGTTATACACATTGCACAGGATATCTGAATGTGCCTTAATTTACTTTTATGGACCACCATATATGGATGTATTAATGTTTCTCTTGCTGTGATACAAATGTGATGAGAAAAGTAGATGACCTTTGGGAGTGTATATCTTTGGGTATTCTTGAGGTATGCTGTGCAGGTAGACGAGTCTAGGGTTAGTTTGCTACAACAATGATATGAAATGCGTATAAGTTATCGAGGACCTTTTTCAGCGGTAGACTCTGAATACTATGTACTTTTGATATGGTTTATACTGATTGAATAGGGTTTGTGTCGGACATGCCGATTGTTGGTTTAATGTATTTTTACTCTTAAGAAGTATTTAAGCAGTGAAAATTTTGATAAGATGCAAGGATTCATTTCTGGTCTTGTTCAAGGATGGAGAATTCATGTTGGAATAAACTTGACCGGCCACAATTGGAGATCACCATGTATATGTAGATATTAGAGTTCCCCTGCTTTCCTTGCGACTTTCTTAGGGATGGTGGATGCTGTGGAAAATGAAAATTCTGAAAGCTTTGTGTGTAGAGTCATTGATAATATTGCCATATATATATACATGCATTATTTACAAGAAAGACCGTTATTTAGACAGGATTAGGACCCCCTGACTTTGGTGTTAGATCCTTTAGATCACTGCAAGCTTATTTTTCCTATCTTGAATGTGCTCGTTTGTTATTCATCTTGCATTTCAAGCTGCATATGTCAAGGCTATGCGAATTCGGCACGCAGTTTAAGTCGCTCAAAAAATGCAAAGTTGAGTTAAACAGTTTGAGAGGTCTGGTGCTCGAAATGTTGGTGAAAATAGTTTATGAACATATAACTTGAAGTTTCTTTTCTTCTTTTTCGGTCGGAATATAATTCGAGGTTTCTAATGCCTGTTTTATGTATAAAAAGACACTGGCATTGAAGAGGGCAAGTCTAATCGTTTTATGAGGTCTTTGAAATTTCAAGGTACTAACTATTGCAGCTTCCTTAGGAGAAGCAAGATTTCGAATCTGTTTGTTGGACAATCTTGTCTAAGATGTCGAGAAGTTCGAATGTAACCTGATCATTGCGGTGCTTTGAAATTTCTTCCATCTTCCACTGTTGAATTGGATAGATTTTATGTTTGAACAAGTGATCAGTTTTCTAGGTTTAAATTGTCCTTGGCTTATTTGTGCATTTCCTAATTGGCAGCATTCCTTTTTGGAATTTCATGGCAATAAGACCTTAGTTTGGCTTTTTTTTTTTTTTTTTGTCAAACGATAGATTTGTTAGATTAAATGTTAGATTAGAGAGCTGACAAAGTTTAAACCCAGCCACCATGCAAGGATACAAATCCTTTTCACCATTATGGTAAAGGATCACTTGCTGGCAACAAGACCTTGGTTAGTTGGGAAACTTGGAAACCAGGATTTTGGTAATTATAATTTATTTTTATTAAATTTTTTGTCAAAGTTTGGAGAATTCTGCAGCCCCAAATACAAAACAATGACTGTATGCTCTCACTAGATCTGTAGATCCCACACTGCTAACCAGAGGAATAACTAGTGAAACAATGAACTATAGAGGAAGGAGGGGGTCTAAAACACTTTGTCAATGCTCCTTCGTGAAGACTGCAGGATGACTAATTTAGAGTGCTGATAACGATTTTCCCTTAAAATTGTCATATTAATGGAAGTCGAAGTGGGAGTTTAGCTCATAAATTTTGAGCAGTGGTCCAGTACTCTGCTTCCAAGCTTATAAAACAGCAAGAGGAAGAAGAACTCTACAAATTAGGATAATACTGATGTCTTAGAACTCTACATATATAAAATAAGGCTATATCTCTCTCCCGATTTATCATGAATCAATTAAATACCAGAGTGTTCTCTGTTAGTACATTCACTTGAATTCTCAAAGACACAGAGGAATCCTTCGATGGTCATCCGGCGAGCTAGCACAGCGAACAACGTCGAGGAAGAGGCTCTCGTCGCACGGGATGTAGAGCTTTGAATCAGCATTGTAATCGTATTCTTCTCGAGCTTGATCGAGCAATGCCTTGAAGAGAGGGTGGTTAAGCACGGTGATTTTGATCACAAACCTCTTGTGGTTTTGACCAACATAGATTACTAAGTGACCCTTTGGGACATCTTTGGGGATTGAGTTTTCTTCTTGCATGGAAGGCCAGAGAGCCCATTGGCAGCAGTTTTCACAGCATGAGGAAGAAGGTGTGTTTTCTCTACTCCCTATCTTCCTCCACTTGTTAGCACACACCCTTACAAACTTCCCCTTCAACATTTTTTTTTTTTTTGTTGCTATTTATACCCACACAAACAATAAGAGAGAGAGAGAGAGAGAGAGAGAGAGAGAGAGAGAGAGAGAGTTGAAATAGGTGAGGTGGTAGTGTTAGTACAAAGATGAAAGGTATATATAGGTGTGGAGAGGAAGCACTATTTTGGAGCATTAAAGGGTTGAAATGATAGGTTAGATATGAGGAAAGCTGAGATGCGATAATTGTGATCAATATCATGGGGCAACTTCTAAGAGATGATGTTCTTTTTCTTTCAAATTTCCATATTTGCTATGATCAGCTGGATATGTTATTTGCACTCTAAAAAATTGTTCTTCAATCATTCTTAGTGCACATAAAAAAAATCAAAAATATATAAAATAACTATTTTGAAGTACTGGTAATAGATCACGATAATAGTATGTCAATATTTATTAAGTTATCCATATGTGTTATAAAATACTGATAACCAACAAATTTTATTGACATATTATCAACACTTTATTGTAAATATACAGATTAAGTAGTCAGTGTGATCATATAAGTGTAACGGTATATTCTTTGCTGTACCGTGCTGTACCCTACACTTACTTTATAGTCATGCACCTTGATACGAAATTGTACGAACATGCATCTCAACTCAAAGATTATAATCTATAAAACATGGCACATTTGGCAGCAGACTTTTTTGCCCTTTTGTTCTTCACAAGAAAGCATGGTGCTTGAGAGTGATTTTTTGAAGTTCTCAAAGTTAAGACCCCACAAATTGTGAGAGGAAAAGATAAGATATGAAAGTAGGTTGGGATAAGCTTCTTGGACAAAGTAGCGATCCCACTCACTTGTTCTCCAATTTAAAATAAAATAAATTTTTTTCTAAATTTAATATATAAATCTGCCGAAACTAAAAACTCATCTGCAGACTGCACCATGATGCTTCATTTGTAATTCTTTCATAAACAATGGATTAGATTGTGGGAATTTTTATGGTATTTTGGAGTATTCGAGTTTCTTTATATTTTGGAGTTTAAATTGTTAAAATTTTAATCAAGGTTACAGTAATTAAAATTTAATGATTAAAAACTCTAGAATACAAGGTACTTAAAAACTTCATAAAATTTTTATTAGATCATGTGCCATTTGTGTATTTTAGTAAAAGAAGCATTCCTTAACACAAGAAACTATTTTATCTCTAACTTTGCTTGATTAGTGTGTGATTTGAGGATGATAATAAGTCAGCTAAATACAAATTAAATTATTTGATATTGAAAAGTTGGCCGGCACATGTTTGGCTGGAATCACATTGGGTGTAATATGAGCTAGGGCATGATCTACTTTTTGTCTTTCTTTTCTTTTTTTCCTTTTTTAAATATATTCTACTTCTCCACTAGTCACTAATGACATATAAGATTTGATCGATAATGTCATCAGCAGCATTTTGCTGCTTTTTAAAACTGAACACTTAAATTAAGTTATCGGTATATATAAATTTGTAGCATGCATGCATGCATGTACTATCCGTACAACATCGTTGCTCTGCAGTCTTAAAACCTAAGCCTGCAGTTTAGATTTGGATAAGTTTTACGAATCTCTGGAGTGTAGTCTGACCTTATAAGCATTAAGCAGAAGAGATGGGTAATGAGTAAGAGAGTATCGAAGGGGATGGATGGATGTGTCCTGCTGTGTTTGCAGAGCATAAGATGGGAGTCACATTTTCAGTCTTTTATGGAGAAAAAAGTCTTCTTCTCGATTCTTTAAACATTCTCCATTTGCTCACCAACCGAAAGGATCAATTTTAAGGTTTCTCTCTTTAGAAATCATGTCAATAATCAATATATAAAAATGCGATTTAAGTTATCATACTATGAATATAAATTATTGCACTGGTTCTTTGTCAAAATATAACGTCCATATTTCTGATCACATAAGCTTTATCTTGTCTAACAATATTAATTTGGCAAAGACTATTGATGTAGAACAAATGACTGAAATGATCTAAGAACAATTGAAAAGGCGTAAAAGTTAGCAATAAGACCCATGACCCGCCATTTCAAACAGAAGACGCCGGGTGCGAGGTGAAGAAGACTTGGGTGCTGAAGTATGGGGATTTTTTGTCGATTCCTTCATAATTTACTATCCCTAAGGGATTATAAGATTTTAGGACTTTGTGGTTTTTCATTATTTGTTTAATTTGTTTTCTATTTGTTCTACTATAAAGTTTAGGGCTAAGAAGCACCTATAAGCAACCTTTAGGTTGTTAGGTTAAACTCATCTCGATTTCTAGTAGTTTTCAGATTGTTAGTGGATACTAGCTTAGGATATGTCATTCAGTTTCTCTATTACTTTATCGTACTGTATCAACCATTATCTATCCTTAGTTCGACAACACAAACATTTGTTATCTTAGCCATTTTATGTGTTCTAACAAGTTTAGAGATTAGCCAGACACTTTCTAGGTATCCATATATGTGATATTCACGTTATCCTCTACGGCTCGACCTAGTGATTGTGGAGTACAGACAACTATACAAGCAGCTTAGGGTAGACCACTTTGAATCAATCCTTCATTAAATATAGCTTGAAAATTGCAAGCAATTGCGAAATGGTGAAGCTTTGTGCATGGTGGATTCTGTGGTGGTGATTTGGAGTGGGTTCAAATGTCTGAACTTTGAAGTTGATTTGCTGAGAGATGCGTGAGTGCCAGC